AATTCCTGGAGACTCAGATAGGTCTTTCTAACCTTTCAATGTTCTCATTCTTCTTAGAAGGAGCTCGTCAATGACATTGGAAAAAGCAACTGGGTTTACCTAGTAAATTAAGTTGTGGATAAATGATTTACAATGAGCAGTCCAGAAACACACCATATTAGATCACATTTAGAAAAAGAAGAGGAAAGAAGAGAGGGAGAGGAGAGAAAGATGGTCAAAGCTCAAGAGAGGAGTCAGGAGGAGTTGGAACTTAAAGCATCAACCAGGCAAGAGCCCCTACTTCATGGTCATCTAAACAAAATCTGACTGGAGCTACAGTAAGTATTTGAACTTTGCTAAAGAGAGCTTGCTATTCTGTGTTTTTATGGAACTTGGGTTTCCTGGGTAAAAGATACCTCAGTTAGAGATGTCTTTCCTGTTCGTGGGTGCATTTTTAGAATAGAGGGATAGGCTGCCATTTATTTTGTGTCATCCAGGTTCGCAGAGAGAGGGACTGAACCACAGGTTGCACTGCATTTATTAAGATGGCAGTTTATCTCTTATTGTGGACTCTATGGGTATTATTTAATAGTTCAATACTTAGTAGGAGTCTGAGGTTTTCTGGGTGATTAGGATGTTTGGCCTCTGAAACACTTTGTTGGTAAATTCTGTATACACACAGTAACTTGTTTGTTGCAAGTTTTGTTGTTCATAGCATTGTGTTTGTCTTGTCACTGTTAAAAACATTCATTTAACCAACTGTGCCTGGATTATTACTCTTTTTACCAAAGCTGTGCCAGAGAATAAAGAATTCACATGCCTCTAATTATACCAACCACTTGGGTATATTCTGGAGAAATCACTTACAAGTTTGGGGTTACGAGTAGTTATTTTACTTATTGACTAAACCTTTTGGCCAATTCATGATTTTCACCATTTTCATAAGACCCATTGGTAAAAATATTCTAAACAAATTACCACTAGTAACACTATCCGATTACCAACACCAAATATAACAGATCTTTTACCCTGGCAGAGTGACTTGAAGGACTAAACTGACATTGCAGTCTTTTAACCACAATCTCCAGAACGTTTGAGACAATAACACTCTATGTTAAGGAGTTTCCCAAGAGCATCAGAGAGAGGTATAGTACTCTCTTCTAACGATAAGTTGTCTCACCCTAGACTTTACCAATCTACTACCATGGGAGTAGATGCTGCTCTTGGTTTGGTTCAGTTCTCTTTTACGGGGAAAGACATCAGCTCACTGCAGGTGCTGCGGATCTCTCCGACAACCCCATATGGAAAACGCACTGACAAGTTCTCCAGTATCTGGAATGATTACACACTGCTTTCAGAGATCTGACCTGAGCTTGTCATTCTCGATTCCTCCACTTCATCACACCTCATTCTTCAGCCATATAACAAAGTATTAGTAACCCTCGTGGTTTCATACTTCTTGAAACACTGCACCTAAGGCATTACTTGTAAATCCACGCTACCTACACTTACTGTATGAGCGAACGCATCAGGAGTATTTTAGTTCTTTAGAATACTGCAACAAAGCAAAGTGCAAAATAACTCTGAGGACTGATCATGAGAACTGTATTTTCCTCCAATATCTATTTAGTCCAATTTCTTTGCTGACTAAAGCAGTTCACTGGAAAACATATTTGGCAAAAAAAGCATAATGCCAAAGCACTTGAATCTTAAATAAGTTTCTTCCGCTATTATATTAAAAACAACATTAACATGTTGTCCTCTCACACAATATAATTTTGCTATCCTTTGTTATCAATAAAAGCAATATATACTTTCTGGAAAGTGTAACTGTCCATTAGCATGTAATGATGTTAAACCTTAAGGCTCATGATAGCCTTAACATTAAGAAAAAAAACAATAAAAATCGACATCTGTCAAGGAGTATATAAGGTTCTTAAAATATCATGTTTTTCACCCATCTGTTTTTTCTTCTTCTTAGGCCTGCTACTTCATTTGATTCACAATTCAAATGTTTTTTTTTCTGAATTAAAACACTGAATTAAGACTAACTTGTCATACACAATAAATCAGCTATAGCTCAAAAGCCAAGATATAGATATATACAGTAGCCCAGGAGAATAACCATAGCATGAACACAGCTTGGTGATGGAAATCATACATACCAGGTCTGAAATCATGTCCCCACTGACTGCAACAATGGACTTCATCCACTGCAATACGAGTAAGTCTGCCCGAGTGGTACGCTTTCTCCAGCTTGGACATAAACAACTTGCTTTTAGCAATTTTCTCTGGGGTTACATACAGGAGCTTGAACTTTGATGACTTGTCAAGCATTGCATTCTGTATCCATTTAGCATGTTCCTGAAATGAAAGACATGGAACAGAATCACGTTTGGCGTCATTCACTTGTTGTACTGATGTTGACAGGAGTCCGTTTTCAGTCTAGGGTCTCAAAATCAAAGACCTGAAAATTGAAAATTTTCTATAGATTTCTATAGAAAATAGAAGCATGTGTCTGTTTTTGTGATGGCCTTTCACCACAGAAAGGTTCTAATGTTTTGGATAGTGTTTTTTTATAGATGTAATATTGGTTATCAGTTGGAGATACCAATGTTAATATTCAAACAATTCCACTCTCTAATGCTCAGTCTCCTGAATGTGACAGCACAGGGCAGAAGGCACATGGCAAAAGACAGAGTAAAGGAGCCCCACACAGGCTCACAGCCTTCTACAACTGGACACATTACCTTGGTGCTGGAGGCATTGAGAGTAGCTGCTGAAATGCCCACTTTATCCAGGAACATAAGCTGATCCTCCATCAAAGAAACCAGAGGAGCTATCACAAGGGTAAAGCCTAAAATAAAGACATGGATTTTGATACTGATCATTTTGATCTCGCGAAGCTACCCTGGACCTGCTTTATACAATTTGAAAGACTGTGGCCCATGTATAAATGGCCAAGTTTGAAACATAATCCAAGATATTTAGGAATATGTTGGAAAGAATACAAGGGAATCAAATTCATCTGGGGCTAGGGAGGAAAAAACATGTTTCTAAAAGTTCCTCTGCAGCTATGGCATATTCAATCAAAGATCCCAGAAGAGCACAGTTTAAGAGCTCCCAACACAGATTCTAGAGAGGGTCACAACCTGGCAGCTAATTCTAAATAACAATGGAATTGTTAATTCTAAAGATTTGTGGTATGCTTTACAATTGCATGTCAGAAGGGATGCATATTCTACGAACAGCCTACGTTACAAAAATCATACGGAGCTAAGAGGTTTATCATAAGCAAAACATGCAAGAACAGCAAGAAGTTAAAATAAATTGTGCACATAAAGGCCTAACAATTATGCCACAAGCAGCATGATACTAAAACTGCATTTTGGCAAGGTGTGCCATCTGCAGACTTAAACAAGCTGAGCTTCAGAGAGTACCTTCGGAGCACACTGCTGATAACTGGTAGCACAGGCTCTTGCCACCTCCTGTGGGCATGACCAGAAAAACGTCTTTCCCAGACATGGTAATGTTGATGATCTGCAGCTGCAGTGGTCGGAATGAGGACAGGTGGAACACATCGACTAGAGTCTTCTGGACCTTCTTGGACCACGGGAATTCTAGTTGGACATGTGTAAGTGTTTAACAATCCAGATATCGAAGGGGCCGACCACATAATTCTTGTTCCAATAAATTGAAGGAGGGCATCTGGCCCAACTAGCCCATATATGACCACAGGCACGACGCAATTCAAAAGTGTCTTAAAGAAAAATCATAAATCCATGTAACACCAGACTGCTTTAACATCCTTCAAAAAATGCAGTTTGATCCATTACAGGCTTTAAACCCCGTGGTCTTATACTGTATAAGCAAAGTCACAATTTTGACAAAGTTTTGAAAAGTAAAACAACCTAAAAAGAGTAGGAAGCTGGGTATACATTATGTTTTACTTTATGGGTGTGTCTCTGCAGCTAAGTTAGCATAATTCTAAGCATTTATACATAAGTAACAGAAAACAACTGTCAGTAAACTTAAATACAACTGCATAGTTCTCTGTATTTACAGTACCTGTGTAGTACCTTTTGAAACATTTTGATCAAGACCAAGAGGGATGTATATTTCAACATTATTGTTCAGAGATGAGAGAAGATGAGTGATATTTATCTGTACATGCGGCACAAGAGTTGCATCTGTCATGCAATAAGAGTGCCATAAAAACCAAACAAAAAAGACACAACAAAATCAAGACATAGCAACCTTCTTTAGCGAAGCTCTGCAAATCCAGCTGCTCCGTTTTGCTTGGGCCAGCGCCTCTTTCAGAGGCCTGTTCCAGCTTTTTCTTCAGTCGGGATCTGGTGTCCCTGAGCTCAATCTCTCTCTCATGCAGCTCACTGATCTGCAACTCCACCACCTTGAGCTCATCATCCACAAAGTTTAACTCCTGCTGTATTTCTGCAGAAGATGACAGGGACACTTTGCATCATACTGACCTGAGCTCTAAAAGAGCATTCACATGTACCTGTAAAGCTGTTAGGTGATGGACACTAAAAACACTCATGTAATTCAATCTACTTGCGTTGCATGACTTTTAAAATTTTGCTCTCATTTCACTGCTCACAAAACACAAATCTCTATTAACTTAGAGAAAAATCATAACCTATGGAAATGGAATGGTGATTTATTAGTTGACTGATATAGAAAAGTAAAATCTATAAATCAATGCACATATCGCATAAAAGATTTATAATTAAGATCAAACATTGAAACTATTTTAAAATGCTGATTTATTTTATGCCCACAACTAAGACTAATACTTCTAAACTACCAGTTTCACTGACCCTTGTATGCACAATTGTTGAACTACTAAAGAAAAAAATATACTATTAGCATGTTTATAAATCATTAGCTGATGTTTTAATCAATTTTATCTAAACCATTTGTACCCATTTAAACAGTACTACATTTTACTGGAGCAAACAGAGTTAAGTGCCTTGCATAACAGTATAACAGCTGTGCTTCACATAGGATTCTTTCCCAAAATATTTCAGTTACAACTCATAACCCTTAACCATTCTTTACATATTATATATTACTGTATATGGCAGGAGTGTGATTTACACTTAGGTCTGACATTATTTGGATGCAAATAAAAACTGGATATATTAAAAGAAATTAGTTTATTACATTTTATAACACTTAAAAATACTTTATCTGCATAATCTATATTATTATGAATAATAATAGCTACTTTCATAGCAAGGTTAATGTTTTAGTGTGAAAGCTTTGGAATCATGAATTCCTTAGAAAGACATAAAACCAGAGAATCAAATACTCACATGCTAGTAATTGTTTACCACCACAGTGGAAATTGATTTTGATTACAGTGATAAATAGATATTTGCTTTCTTGGTCCACCAATCAAGTTGTGCTTACAAACAATCTAAATGGAAATGCATTGTTTTTTCTTTCATGTTATATCAATATAAAAACATACCTTCAATACTCTCCATGTCATTAAATCTGTCTGATGGGTAAGGTTGTTTACAGCTTCTTTACAGTCCTGTGAGACATAAACAATGAGGCTAGTTTTTCCATTTTGGTCTCTTGCTTGACAAAAGCACAGATTAACTGGATAATTATAAAAAGAAAATAGCATGAATATTTTATGGGACATAGACATTAACAGAGAACATGAGGACTACAGGGCAACAGATTCTCACAAAAATAAATGATGAATGCTAAATTGTCCTTGGAGACTACTTCAGCCTTCCTTCCTACAATTAACACCTTTTTATCTCCTCTTGGAATAATGACTTGCAAACTAGTCTTACAGTCGTCAATCAGTCAAAACAAAAAGCAATTAATTTACGTTTGTTGTTAGCTACAACAGCTACTACTAGCTAGCAAACAAATTCTTACCCAGAAAGGATATGGGCATTATGCCAAAAACTGTATAACACACTAATAAATCAATTAGAATACTGTGTACAATTGTGGTCACCACATTATAGAAGAGATATTGTTGCTCTGGAATCAGTCCATAAAAAGGAAACCAGATACAGTCAGGGACTAAAAGGAATATCCAACACGGACAAGCTGATCTTTTTAGTCTGCAACGGAGAATACTGGGCGGAGCGGTGGCTCTGCGCCTGTGACTGCAAGGTTGCTGGTTCAAATCCTGCAGCTGGCAGAGGAATCCTACTCCGTTGGGCCCCTGAGCAAGGCCCTTAACCCCAACTGCTCCAGGGGTGCTGAACAATGACTGACCCTACACTCTGACCTCAAGTTTCTCTCCCTGTCTGTGTGTGTTTCTCATGGAGAGCATGCTGGGGTATGCGAAAAGATGAATTCCTAATGCAAGAAATTGTATAGGGCTAATAAAGCAACATTATTATTAGTAGTAGTATTATTATTGCAGAGAGCATTGACAAAATGTACCCTGTGGATTTCTTCCAAAAGAACAATGAAACACGAAACAGAGGATACAAGTGAAAAGTATGTGAAAGTGCATTAAAACTGAGACCAGGAGGCAGTTCTTTAGCCAAAGAGCTGTGGAAGTATGGAACAGGTGGCTCAGTCATGTTGTTGAAGACGATACCTGGCTTCTTTCAAGAAATAGCATAATGAGAGTTTCACTTTCAACTATTTCTAAGAGTTCCCCAGCAATTCCTAGGCACCAGTTTGAAAATTAATACAAGGTGCCTTTTACCCTAGTGTTGGAGTAATAATAATATTTCCTGGCTCTTGGAGGGCACACATCACCTTCAGTTGGAGTACAGCATCCAGCCGGCTGTCATGCAGGAGTCATCATGCACCAGCAGCCCCATTACATCAGGTGGAGGAATGGGAAATGACCCCAGTGGAATAAAGGGAACTGCCATACTTTCTAAAATGCTATCTTTAAGACTCCAATTAGTCAGAGCCTAGGTTTTAGGTCTCATCCAAAAGACAGTACCTAATACAGCACAGTGTCCCTGCTCATCGATTTGGAAATTCTAGTCCAGACAGAAGAGTGCCACGTACTGATCTTGCTACAACACTTAAAGTATCAAATGAATGATTAAACAGCTTAAACGCGATTAAACAGATTAAACGCAAAATGAATGATTAAACAGCTCTATGAGGACCGCTGCCGTGGTGGAATTCTGGCCATCACAGAGGACAGTCAGCACCCCGTGCATGAGCTCTTCACCCCACTGCCCTCAGGCAAGAGATATAAGAGCATATGGACACTTACCACTAGATTCTTCAATGGCTTCTATCCACAAGCAGTGAGACTGGCGAACACATTTAGCCATCCCCCTCGGACCACACCTACACCATCACCATCTACCTCTTTATGATTTCTTATCTATTGCACATCTCCAGTCATTGTTTACACGTCTGTATTGTTTACATTCAAACTGTCTACATGTTTACTTGCACATTGTCTATCGTTTGTTTGTATATTGTCTTGATGCACTGTTTGCACTTTGTTTTGTTTTTTACACTTGTTTTACAATCGAGAGACTTTCTGTAAGTAAGAATTCCATTGTACCAGCACAGGTTACATATGGCAATAAAGTTCAAGTTCAAGTATCAACCCAATTTTCTCTGGCATCTCCCATTGTGTAGATGGGGTCCTGGCCAAATTTCCCATTTGGCTTTTACCAGTCACTGCTGGCCTCCTAATAATCCCCATCTATGAACTGGCTTCATCACTCTGCTCTCCTCCCCACTGAGAGCTGGTGTGTGGTGAGCGTTCTGGTGCACTATGGCTGCTGTTGCATCATCCAGGTGGGGCTGCACATTGATGGTGGTGGAGGGGATCCCCATTACCTGTAAAGCACCTCGAGTAGAGCATCCAGAGAAGTGTAAGGAATTTATGATGATGATGATGATGATGATGATAATGATGATCATCGCATAGCATCTGAGAGCTTACAAGATCAGGCTAGAGGTGCTGCTGTTATTCCTATATTTGTTTCCCCAGTAATTTTCACAGGGTTTACCATTTATAGACAAGTAAACGCGAAATGAATGTTCAAGTACGGGACTTCCCACAACGTTAGAACTCACATTAATTAACGTTTTGACTTTGTAACAGGGTTTCAAACGCCCACTCAAGGAACAAAGTAAATCATACTATGACTGGACTCTTATCAGTCCATTAGTTATTACACCACAGAGTGTGCGGATGTGTCTAGGGACCCACCCTCGTTGATGTTTAGACAATAGCTTCCTATTTGCTCGCAGCTTAAAAGAAAAGATTCATAATAACTCATTTTAGAATAATATTCTGCAGACCTATAAAGCCCTTCACAGAAACCAAAAATTATCAATAGGGGTATGTGACGTTTCAGTTCAAACCACAACTTGTAAGAAAACACAACATTCACTTAGAGGCAGGATTTAAAGCGAAGCCATAAAAGGCAGGAGTTACTGTACAGTAGTTGCTCCGCCACACAGCAAACCCATGTTAATCACTCAATTAGACAGATAATACTTTATTAATCCCGTAGGGAAATTGATGAAGATACGGGAATTAAACTACGGGGGAAAAAAACGTACTCCGGTTAACCTACCACGTTTGTTTAATTTCTGAGGGTGTGAACCTTTCTTGTCCTGTTCCCATTCTAAAGATAACGGCAGATTCCTATATTTTGCTAAATAAACCTCATTTAAAGAATATAAAAAAAATGGTTGGTCTTACTTCGGCAGTCTGAATTCCTCCTATAAATCAACGCAAGTAGAAAAGCGCCAAAAAGAAAGTAAAAACGGATCGTAATGGGACAAGGTAAATCCGCAAATGTACTCATGAAATACATCAAAAACTACCCGGACGGAGAAGTTGACTTTTAAAAGAAATTTGCATCCAAGGCCCCGCATTCCGATCAGCGAGCACCTGCTATTGGCCATTAAAACCAACCTTTGCAAGTCGGGGTTTTTTTTGTGTGTGTGCTATCAAGAGAGGGGGATTTCCTAGAACAAAAACTTTCTCTTTCGTGTTTGAGTTTGGGTTTTTTTTTTCCCCCAATCACATTTAAAATCTCACATCAATTTCTCTGATCTTCGTGGCACAATACTGAAGAAATCTAACAAAAAAGACGAGATACTCCATTATTGCTGTACGAGTTAGCTCAACAACTGTAAAAACGCAGAACGTCAGAACCGTTAAGCGACGACGTGTCGGGACGCGTTTTTAATTCTCAAACCCCATCTCATTCCACGGCCTCATCATTTTTTAAAACACAATGTATTAAGATTAGAAAACAAAGAAGCCCGCCGCATTTAAAAAAAAAATAAAAATAAAATACGTATTGCAATTGGTGGAAGAAGCAGATTCTTCAGTGATAACCAGTTCTCCAAGCCGTTTCACTCCAGACCACATCAGTTTGGGCCACTGATCGTGATATTTAGCAACCTTCAATTCATACGTCTATTACTAAACTTATATTAAGCACGAAACCAAAAGGGGAATTCCAAAGTAATTACTTCCAAACCACCTGTATTCGTATATCCATTCATTAAAAAAGGCTCAAATCTGAATCTGATACCTAAGTGACATTTGGTGGCACATGTATAGTTTTAAATGCTGACTAAAACACCGCTGCTCTGAGCGGCACGACCATTCTGCGTCTACTTAGAAGTAGCGAATTTAAGGCAATAGCCTCGTCTGTATCGAGACAGTTTTCCACGAGAGGCAGAGGAAAAACTCCCACAGCAGGTACCGATACTTACTGCTACTGCAGCTACCACTCCCGGCTCATTGTTTGGCTTGGTTGACTCCACACGGGAACGACGGTTACCACAGCAGTGGACCTTGTGACTCGAAGCGCCAGCCAATCAGAGGGGCGGCCGAGCTCGAGCGGACGAAGAAACTGATTCCATTTTGGCTCCACGCTAGCGTGCCTCTCACACGTCACAGGCAGCTTCTTGAGCCCAAATGGCGAAATACCTTACGTCAGTTGCATAACCTTTGGCACCCCAGAAACCTTCCCCTGATTGGGTTTCTTCCGGTGGACCAATGCCTGCAAGGGTTACTCCGTGAGTGCGTGGTTCCGGAAGACGTGGCGGCTGCAGTAGCAGCAGCAGTAGTCTGTGCTGGAAGTGCTTGTCTTTATTTATTGTGTTTAGCTGTTACCCTGGTAGCCTTTCATCCATCACTGCAAAAATGATCTCCTTAACGGATTCACAGAGTAAGGCAATGTAGTTTTACAGACGGGTGCTTTGAATTCAGTGTTTGTCTCTTTAGGTCTATAAACTGGGACTTGTGTTTGTGCTGTGGTGAATGAATGGAGACCTGGGGCCTGTGTTGTGTTAACTGCACCCAGTAAATGTTAATCATGCCTGTCTGCTTTTCCTTCTTGTATTCTTGGGTGTCCATTAGTCAAATGCTTCGGAACTTGAGACATGAACAGATTTGAATCATGTTACAGGTGGTCCCTCATATAGACACAGCTAGGGGGTTGTAGCAGAAACAGCCGGCAAGATGAAAAGTATAGTGCTTTAATTTCGCGGTTGCTCAAACGCTCAAGACTTCCAAACATGTAAATCTGGAGAAAAATATGGCCCTTCCGGTTGAGAACAATTTCGCGAAACCAAATCGGCGATTAAAAAAAAACAACTGCAGGTACCACCTCAAAAGTGTTGTCACATTGTCACATCTGTTTCTTTAAAGTAGATTAAAGATGTACTTGTTTTCTGCTTTGGGGTAGTTATAAACTCCGTTATCTGATGGGTGAATTTGGCTTTGCCTTCATAAACGATGTCGCGGGTATTACGCGTCTACAGACTAATCTAGATTTCGCTGCACTGACAGCCGAATCAATTTTAGTTGGGAAGGGACATTTTTAAGGCCTAACGTTTTAACTGGCACCGTTGTTTCATAATTAAAAGAAATATTGTGAAGCACTGATACAAATGAACCTTCTACTTGTTCCGTTTGCATTTTTAATGAGTTTGACTAAGGTCATTAAAATTGAGGCGATATGACATATCGTTTCACAGCTACAGTATGTGCACGCATTTCAGTTTGCTAAAAAGAAACGGGAGATTGTTTTCCCTCGTAGAAAAGAGTGCATCATATAGTGACATATGATTCATTTTTGTTTTATGTGCTCATTACAAACGGCTGCAGTCTTAGCACCTCGATTGACCTCAATACGTCAGTAGTAATGTGAAAGTGTATATGCATTTCTTCATTTCAACAGTCTTGACCTATTCATACTGAAGGATACAAAAAATTACACGGTACTTAAAAAAGTATGATTCTGTTGTGTCTTCAAAAAGCTCTGTACAAAATGTTGAATTTGTGTTTTTCTACTGTTTAAATAATGGAATTCCATGTTCTGTTATACAAAAACTGTACAGCAAAATTCAAAACCTAAATGAACATTGTAATTATCTTCTGAGCTAGACTCCTTTCATTTACTACAGTGTACTGCAAAGCTGTGATTTGACAAGTTTTGGTATTTAAATATTCTAATATCTTTCCACTTTCTCTCCAACCCAGAAATCGGAATGGGATTAACAGGCTTTGGTGTGTTTTTCCTGTTCTTTGGGATGATCCTATTCTTTGACAAGGCTCTCCTAGCAATTGGAAATGTAAGTTCTTAGTTCTTCCTCTTTGTAATACACTCATCAATTCTGTGCTTTTAATTGTTCCGAGAAACTGAGAAGCAAGTGTATTGATCATCCGCTCCTCATTGCAGTATAAAACTGAATAAAGCCTTTAATTTATTCACTTTAATTTAAATTAATAGTTGTTAATTTAAAAACATAATGGATTTAATTTGTGGCTGTCTGGTTATACACTCACTGGATACCCCCCACTACATACAACGTTCTTGTTGCCTCATATTAATTACCTTTTGGATGGTATTACCTGTGGCAGAACCCTAGCTGGGTGTGAAATACTATTTCAGGGCTGTTCATAATGGACTTGTTTTCACTGTGCATCTAAACCCCTGGGCCACATCCTGAGGGTGACTGTGTGATGAACACGAATTGGCTTATTAGTCAATGAGAAAATGCTGCAACAAATAGAACCTTATAAACATTATACAGCTAACTAAAATAGAGAGTACAGGGGCATTGCACTGAAACAAATCTTTAAGTCATCTTGGTTAAGAATTGTTTGGAAGCACGGCAGAGAAATTAGCTTCATTTGCCTCCTGTTCTCAGTTTATTGGTACAAAACACCAAGTTCCGGTAAAATCTTCAGTATTAAAGGAAAACAAAGGGTGAAGGAAACTGTCACAGCTATAGTATTGCAGCCTCACAGGAAAAGTAGAATCCGTAGGTAAAGAAAAATGCTGTATTTGACTTTCTGAGGTGATGGAAATACATATTTATTGGAGTGTGAACTCTTTGCTTATTTCCACACACTGATTGTGAAACAATTGGTATTGGTCTTGTCATATTGGCAAGGATTTTTATTTTATGATTGAGAAATGCAGAAAAGACCTTTAATACAGGAGAGACTCGGTCCTTGGAATTTCTATAAAAAATGTCGGAATAGTAGTCTGTTTTCTGCATTAGGGTGATCAAATGTTCATGATTTCTGTGCAAATTTTTATGTGCTGTTGTTTAAACAAAATGTTAAAAGTTGAACATCTTTTTTTCAGAGAAAACCAAATAGGTGAAAAAAAACATTGAGGTCAGGTTCTGTTCAGAGAGAGGTGAATGTTTCTGTATTTCTTTTGTTTCCCCTTTTTTCTTCTGCATCATAACAGTTTAATATTTGTTTGATGTGCTGCCTGAGTGACCTTTTCAGAATCCCTGCTTGTGTGTCCGGGTGCGTCGCTCTTCGATAAAGAACCCCACTCAGCACAGCCCGCTTAGGTGTCTGTGCGGATCAGCGAATACGAGCCTGGACACTGCGTGCAAGCTGGAAATGAAGAGTGATTCTGAGAGTGCAAGGAAGGCCCGAGACCGGGAGAATCCTCATTAATAAGCGGGGCTTGGTTGAGGCGAGACCCCCGGCCCCATCTTTTAAATCCATCTCTCTCTCTTTCTACAGATTCTGTTTGTGGCCGGCTTGTCCTTCGTTATTGGACTCGAAAGGACATTCAGGTTCTTTTTTCAGAAGCACAAAATGAAAGCCACTGGTTTCTTCCTGGGAGGTGTGCTCGTGGTGCTGATCGGGTGGCCCATGATTGGCATGATCTTGGAGATCTACGGATTCTTTCTGTTGTTCAGGTAAGAGGAGAGGTGGTGCCTGCAGCATTCCTTGTCAAGCCGCAGCAAAGTTTTTACTTTGCTTTGTCACAGGCTTGTTTACCCTTTGGAGTCACATTTTAAAAAATGCTCTTACTCGAAGAGTGCAGCCATACCTAGAAGACTAGAGTGCAGTAATTGTTCTGTTTCTAATGTCCAATATAATATTTCCACATGAAAATATAACTTTTTTTTATCGTTCCATCGAGTTTTGGTGTCTGTGCCAACCCTCCAGAAATAAAAAAACAAAACTAAAATATACTGCACATGATATAAAAAGCCTTTTCCTGTGTAAACATATTGTCTGGACAGCCCTCCACTGTGTCCATTATCCTGTGTAGTGATCGGGGATAGGGATGTGCTGACATACTGACGAGCCTTTCCCTGAATTCCCGTACTTGTGCTGCCAGAATGAACCATGCCATATCAGATATTTAGATTTTTTTTTTTTACTTGTTACGTAATTGATTGAATTTAAGCTTTTGCTTTTTACAAATCCATGAGCTCAAATGTTTTTACTAGACATGTTAATTGAATTGAACCAAGTTGCCTTCTCTGCAAATTGCCACTTTCCATGCTGTGCTTTAGGTTTAAAAGATATAGAAATCCAATTTAAAAAGCAGCAGTGGCCGCAGAGCCTCCTGCTTTGTAGCCTGAGCTCTTCAGATCCTGGATGATAAGCAAAGCTGGGCCTGGTTAGTACTGGAGATGGGGGCTTTCAAGGAAAACCTTGTTGCTGCTGCAGTGGCGTTGGTGGACCAGTATGTGGTGCTCTTCCCTCCAGCCCAGCTTTTTTAAACCAGTGCCTCAGCACGATGACTGGGTACAGTGTGGTATAGGAGGTGCCATCCTTTGGCTGAGACCTTAAACCGTGGTTCTGTCTACATGGTCATAAAAAATTCCAAGGCATTTTTTAAAGAAGGTGGAGGCAGTATTAACCCCAGTGTCCTGTCTAAATTCTACTCTGGGATTGTTCAATCTAGCCTTCCTAAAGTTCTCCTTTAATTTACTTGCTGAAACCAATTATTCACTTCTCCACCTGTTGTAACGTGTGGTAGGGCTCCTGATTTATAATGGTGGCCGTGCATCACCCTACTGGGTGCTGATGTCCATGGGTGGATGAACGTGGTCCCCCTTTACTGTATATGTAAAGCGTTTGGCTATGTATATGTAAGAAATGAAAATGCTTATTAAAAATACAGGAAAGGGCAAGGAACAAAAGTTTCGTGGTGAAAACATTGCAAAAAAAAATCAGAAAAAAGGTGATTTCTCCTCTTTCTGTCACAGGGGCTTCTTTCCAGTGGTTATTGGGTTTATAAGGAGAGTGCCAGTCCTAGGATCTTTATTGAATTTACCAGGAATCAGTGGGGTACGTATTAGTTATACTTTGTCATGCAATACATTTTGTGTTATTACTGTAACAGACTTGAAGTAAATAAATACTAAAACTAGAAAATACTTTTAAGTTTCTTGTTTGATGACTGAATGGCATCATTGCCATAGAGGCCTTCTTATTGAAATGTACATGTCTTTCTTTATAGTAAATGTAATTCTGTAATATTTTTTTAAAGCCTACGTAAGGCTGAGAAGAGAGTCTACAGTAATGGTCAGTCACTGTTCATCTTTCATTAGGTTTTCGTACTGCATGAATATCCGGTTCCCTCCATTGATACAATATATAGACACACTGTAGTTGTGACCTTTGGAATATTTTACATTTCACAAAAAAGTGACTACTGCATTTCATTACCTTGTTTATTTTTGTTTTAACCAATTTGTATTACTTCTTTTTGTGTTTACATAATAGTTCTGTTCAGCATTTATAATTTAGGCGGAGGGGATTGATTCTACTGAATGTGTAAAAGGTCTAGCTATAATGATGGCCCTGTTTCTTAATTAAATGCACACACTGTCAGGTTGTTTTCTGTTCATCTTAAATTACATTACAGATCGACAATCTATAATGTATGCACACAGTGCAAAGATTGTGGCATCTGTTTCTGACGCTGCCTGGCGATACAGGAGTCAAAATGTTGTTAGGAAAGCTAAAGTGTCTAAATTAATTCTTGGTTAAGTAGTGAAAACGTAATTAATGTAATTGCACAATTAGTAGCCTTTCCCTTGAATTTAATTAAGAAGCAGAGGCTATTCAAAAGGCAGGTACTAGCCTGTCCAAGCCAGTGATTCTGGTCTAACTGACCACTCAGTATAGACTCATTACACTTTTGCAGATGAATCCTGAAGGTTTTATAAGAAGCTTGTCAATTTGCGATACATATTAAAGGCCATAGTGAACTCGGAGAATGCACCCACGTACAACTATATTTTTATTATTTTTGGAAAATATGCTTAGGTTCTTCTCAAGATTTTATTTTTGTCATGAGATAAGAATTTGAACCTTAAATGGTTTTGTCACTGCGTCTTGAAACAAAGCAGCACTTGAATCATGCTATCCTGGGTGTATTTGTTTTTGTTCCTGCAGTAGGTTATATTTACAGATGCTTTGATTATATGTATACAGTCTTGTGAGCTGAAAGGTCAAGAACGCAATGTCTAATCACATTTTCTTCGGCGTTTCTTCTTTTGCAGTTTGTGGATAAAGCTGGAGAGAGCAACAACATGGTATAACGGTTACTCCAAGTTTCTTTGGAAATTGCTTTATTTATAATAGTTTCCCAAAGTAACTTTATCCCCCCATTTTTCAGATTTCAACCAAGGAGTTAATGTCAGGAAACCCTTTATTTTGTTTCAGTTTGAAGAAATTGAATTTCATTTGCTTTCCCTTTTTGAATAGTTGCAAAACTTGCTGATGTGCCAAGCAAGTCTGCAGTGTGACTGCTTTCATAGTTTTGAAAGTGTATTGGATGCCCGTTGCTACCTTATAATAATGAGGGGACACAGTTACTCTGAAGGAATGTCTAGCACAAGGCACAGATTATGTGTAATGTTACATGGTCCTTTGCTACAAATGTTCTTTCTACACATACATTTATTGTGGAAGATAGTGACTGAATGAAATAAACCTGGCTGATCCTACTTTAAAATTGAACTGTTTTAGAATGTATGTACATTCTAAAGGCTACTGTTGAGTTACTCCATTGTACATCGGTTTCTTTGAAGATGGATTTGGACTTCTGTTACAACATAATCATACAACATAATCAGCCATGCTATTTTGCTGTGCCTGCACTTACTTCTCAGTTGGAGAAAGCCTGAGTGCTAGAAAACAAATAATTTGTGTTTGTTTTATTTAAGTGCCAGAACCAGCAGTTTTTCCTTTCTTAAGTACAGTAAATGAATGCTCCTGTGTAATATAACCTGCAATGTATCTATGTAAGTGATACAGGAAGGTTGGACTGCATTAAGGTTTTTAAAATACGATTTGGGTCACTTTTATTAGTGTAAAGTATTAAAAAACTATGTTTTGCTGTATGGAACTTTTGTAAATACACATTTAAAAGGAATAAGAGTTGTGTTTTTTAAGACAATCCCAATAAATACTGCTGTATTCTGAGAAGAATTGCACATTGTTTCTCTAGTGTTGATGACAATAATAGGTTAAAGTCATCACTCATCCAGTAAGGTTTTCCTGCTTGTTGTGGCATGGGTTCCTTAACGTTGATATTGTTGGATGTGTTTTATCAATGAATCTTTTTATCATTAATGTTGTCTGTTATTTTTTTGTAAAATACAACATTACTTAAGAAAAGTATTATTCAAATATGTTGACAATACCTTAATCTTTGAGAAAACACATGCAGACAATACAGTTAATCCTCAATTTACATAAGGGCAACCTTGAATAAGACTAAATTTATGTGACTCGGAATGCACTCTTATACTATGGGTTTTCTCCTACAACTGGTGTCATTATTGCATTACTGCAATAGTAAAAATTACAGTATTACTTCCACTGTATAGTATTGTAGTGTTCTGTCCCCCTGATAATGGGCTCATGGGAGAGTTGTTTATACTTCCTAATCTACCCCTGCTAATAGGGCTTCACTAGGAATAACACCACCCATGAATTAAGTGTACTGAAAGGATTATGAACTGTTTTAGTCAAATTGTGGCTTAGAAAAAGTTCAAGTGGGTAGCTGCGTCAACTTCTGCGGGGCTGCAAAGGAACGAGTAAAAGTTAATTCCATAATGAAAAGAGAAGAAAAGAAACGCATAGTTGTTTCTTTTCTTCTCTTTTCAGCATGATATAACCTCTTACTTGTTGCAAAATTTGGCTTAACCTGCTTGGCTGAGGTCTAAGCTCCTGGCCAGGGGACGAGGAGGCTTGGACCCCCTTCCAAAAAGGCTGAGGGGTGACCAAGGGGCAGCGGCAGAGGTGGGAAGGAAAAGATGTATTCAATAGAGAGAAGGGGATGACATACCGTATCTATAAACTTTAGATGAGGAAATGAAGCCGAGTGTCATTGCGAATTACAGACAGTTGAGGCTGATTGAACCTGGCAGTTGTCTTCAGTCCCAAACTTTTATAAACTCCAGGAAGGTAGACCTCTTCCTTTTGTCTTTTACTACATGGGGTGTGAGCTAATACTATGTTCTTTCTCTCTCAACACCTCTCAGTGACTATCAGCACCTGTTAATTATTAGGGGCGATATACTGCACCCAGGGCCTGCATCCAGCTGTCCTGCTTCTACTTCTCAATGCACGATTTCTAAGGGACAGAGGAACAACAGCTACAGTACTTTAACAACTAAACTCTAAACCAAGTAAAGAACACTGCAAAAGAAATGACATAACTTAGAACTTCACATGCATTCCTAGTGTTGGCTTGCTTCTCGCATCACTAGAACACTTTTCAGCTGTGAGGACAAGGGTAACCTTGCAGACACAGTGGGAATTATTCCTGGCATTGCACCAGTAAGAGAACATCTGCACACACGGCAATGTGGGACTGAGTAATGGCCATAGGTCTTTAGATGTAGACTCGGTAGATGTGCATAGTTTCTGTTGCATTTATTTAAGTCAGGAAGTAAAGTATGTGTATTATATTTTATAGTTTGTATTATTGTATGTCCATGCCCAGCTGTTCTTTTATAGAAGTTCATAAATCCACTGTTCATATTTGTTTTTAAGACGTTATTGCTGATGATATGATCTTGCTGATTGGTGCCAAAGTAGGGGATAATTCATGGCATACAAGTATGAAGCGATCTACAGTAACTGGACTGCTAACCTCTGCTCTAGCTTGTGTGATGCTGACATCTTATCACTCCCTCAGTGCTTCCAGCTTTTCACGGTGTCTAAGATGTGCGCTCTACTAAGCAACCAAAGTTGCTAGTCAAGTGTCAGGGAAACGCGTCTCAGTGTTTAGTGAGGGAGGTCCTCCGTGTGCTGTTTGATCAGCACAATTGTACAAGTATGTTTGAATACTTATACGTCGGCCAAACATGAAAAGACTACTTACATCGCACGGTGTAGTGGTATTAAATTATAGTAATATAGTGTACAAGTTTGATACACTAATACTAGTGGTAACACTGTACTGTAGTAGTTATGTACTGAAGTTTTAGTACATTATTTATAATTTATAACTATAGCAATAGTTTCTGCTAATACTAAAATGTACCTATAGTACAATATAGTAATAACACTAGTGAAATACTCCAGATACAGAAATGCTCTAAAGCACCAAATAGTATAATACACAGTAGCCAAGCAGAGGGGTGGGACTGTGGTAACTGATGTGGTAGCTGTGAGACTACAATTGGCTGTAAGTTATGTCCTATAGATCAGTGGCCTTAACCTACATGCTCTCATTAATAAAACAATGGCATGCAATAAAAAAAGACCTGATTTCTTTCTCACTGTCATGAGCACCTTATTTTCTGTAAGTATACTTTTCATTTCAGCTCTTCCATATGAAGGAAAGGTAAACACCTCTAGCAATGTACTTTTTCATTTCTTTTTCCAGCATAAAGCCATTTTTCCACCAATTTTCAACATGCATCCCCTTCCATGCCATACATTCAAGAAGTTGTACAGCACACTTGGGATTAACTGTTTTATAAAACAAATGAACATGTAATTGAATCTGTAAATCTACAGTGTCCATGTAGGGATGGTTCCATACCTTTAGTTCCAATGCAAAATTAGATCAGAAAGAGGAAAATAAAGCTAATTGAATCAAATGAAAATTGCTATAACGATTTTGGTTTACACAGCCTGTCATTAGGCTCATGGGAAATAACCCATCCTCTTTAATGACATTACCACTGTCTCCAAGTCACTTTAGTTATTGTGTAACAGTAATCCACTTTAAACTGTTTCCAATCCAATACAAGTAAACTCATGGCACAGTGTTGTGCTGGTGTTGGCTAAATTTATTCAAATAAGAATCCCTTAGCTGATACTAAGGATACATTCATTTAATAATCCTACAGTTCTTGTCTCATAATCTCCACAATTGCTATAGACTGGTTGTCAGTTTTAACTCAGAGAGAATCTTTCAAGTTACATTAACCTTTCAAGTAACTTTGCTCTGAGTAGCTGGTGATTTCTTTCATATGATATTGCTGACAGGACAAATTTTAAACAGGCTATTTGGCAGGTCTGATTTTCTAATTCATTGAATGCCATGTCTGTAAAGACATTCACAACTGTCCTGTCTTTAACCTCCAGTCCTTATTACATTTGAAGAGAACCCACAACTGAATTCTCACCTCCCATTCTTTTCACATTTGCTTTCTCTTAGAAAGGAAAGATTGTCTTGATGAAGGACAAAAATTAAAACATAAAGAAGGTGTTGTGAATAATTAAGCATTTTAAATGCAAAAATAATGTAATTTTACGATTTAATCAAGGGATGTAGGAGTCTAGTGAAGGGTTTTAATAAGCACTTAGAATCATTCACAGTCAAGGATGACTGTCTGCCATTCACCCATTGGAAAAGATCAATGCGGCATCTGCACACTCTCTGGCAGGCCAAAGAGAAACTGGCTCCCTGAATATGACTTTGTACAACATGTGATGGACACAGTATTTGTGTAAAGAAAGTTAAAGGGGTCAAGGTTTTGGACATATGTATGTATTCGTGTTTCTTTATTTGGAATACAGGAATACAGGATAATCTGGAATTAAAGCAATTTATTTTTTAATATCATTATTTGTGATATTTCAGTTTCAGTTTTGTGAGAAAAAAAATATTTACATAGTCCCAGTTCTATTCTGGTCGTTTCATTGCAGCTTAGAAACATTTTGTAAGGTTTTAAAATTCAATTTTCTGGGACATAGAAGCCTAAACATATGACTATTCTCTAGTTTTTGGAGAAAGGCAAATACAGTGTACTAAGAGTCCAATCTGCAGTAACTGGATTGCTAATAAAGAAATGATTTGGGGCCTTTGTTTTTTCAATCTAAGATGCATTTTTTCTAATCACCGCCAGGGGCTCTTGGAGATTTGAGATGTCACACCTCAACTTAAAGGGCATGCAATTGAGGCCAATCCCAGCAGATGTTTTTAAGCCCTATGACAGACAGTCTTCCTTTATTACTTGTAAAACTGAACTGAAGATTCTCTATCTATCGGTAGTTCGGTGGTGAAAAACATATACAGTACATGCTTACTGGAATATCTTCTAAGGTACTAAATAGGCTTCAGTATTCAGTAGGCTCCAGATTTAAGACAGACTGGACAGACCCTGAGGTCCCCAACTTACATATGAAGCACTGCTTAGTTTTGCTCCAGGTTATCTTCAGGACAATAAGAATAGTCCAGCTCTGATGATCTGTGATCTGATAATTCAGGCATAGATAATTCTGCTACCGAAGGCTCCAGACAATGTCAATGTCCAAAATCAGCATAATGTAGTCTCTTGAAAATGTGTTTGCACAGAGTGACAAGTTTCTTTTAATGTTTATAATGTTCTTAGTGAAGTCCAACTGAAATGAAAAATGATTTGTTTAAACAACAAATACTTCTATTCAATCGGTGGTGCATGGAAAATGTCAGATTAGGAAGTTCAATGTGCTGGGAAGTTTTTAAACTATAAAGAAACTATATTTTGTGAAATCTAAAGAACATACATGAGAATAGTTCATTATAGTTGATTAGTGGAATAGCTATATTGTGGTGGAAAATACCTGTTGATTTAATGAGAAAGGCATAATCACTTCTGTTGATTATTTAAAGCAATGATAAGAGATTCTCTACAGAACAGGAAATGCTAGTGTTTTGTGAATAAACCCTTAGGAATGATTTGTAGAATTCTCTGGTGTAACTTACTCATTGATTAATTGCCACAGGCAACTTTTGGAGATGGTAAATAAGTGTGAAAATGTCAGTGTTGACATCATATCAGAGCAGCTCTGATCACTTTAAAAAATGCTTGTTAAAAGGGTTTCACAGAAGTCTCCACCCAATTAAAAAAGAGGAAGATGTACAGTACAGTTGCAAGAAAAGGTTTGTGAACCCTTTGGAATTACCTGGATTACTGCATTAATTACTCATAGAAAATGTGGTCTGATCCTCAACTAAGTTACAATAATAGGCAAAAACACAATTTGCTTAAACTAATAACACACAAACAATTGTACTTCTTATTGTCAGTACTGAACGCTTCGTTTAAACACAGTTCACAGTAAAAACACAGTTAAATTCACAGTCTAGGTTGGGAAGAGTATGTGAACCTCTAGCCTAATGACTTTTC